GACGTTAAGGCCAATGACAGAACAACTTCCCCTCATCTTTCATTGAAACCCACTCCGAAAACTGTGCCTGAGAGGGAAACGCCGGCTTAGCAAATCTGCTAATTAGGCTTCTTGGACAAAAGCCAAAGCCCGCAACCATCCGAAACCTCATTGAAACGTTAACAAAGACAAAACAAACACATAAAATACTGTGGTTTCAGAGTATAGATGGCACAACCCCCAAGATTAGGAGTCCAAAAATAACCACCAAACACTGACACTTGGGGATTCATTTGTGCCAATCTAGTGCCATCTACTCACTCTGAAGCCCACTTCGATCGGGAGAAACTCGAGCCAGATCTGAGCTACCGAAGATAAATCCCCAAGGACCGAACTCATAAGTTCGCCCTTCAATGGAAAAGGTTCGCGGATAACCGGGCAGGAGCTGGAAGTAGAACAACGCCATCCCCAGCACGGCTGCAAGGTTGCCTGCCACCAGGGCAGCTCGGCCATTGTAGATGACCATGAGAACTAAGATCTTTTTCCAGGAATCTCCTTAGATGTGCTTCCAAGTCCCCCTTCAAAGGGCAGGACCAGCATTTTTTCGCCAACTTGGGCCAACATCGATGACCAAAATACCCACCGACTCACCCGAACATACGCAACAAACTTCAAGCTTTGGGGTCAAGGTTGCAATCCATTGGGTCTGACAAACTCAACTCCCAACATACCCAAGGGACTTCCAACAACCTCTTGCTCAACCCGACACATACCCAAAGGACTTACAACAAACCCCTTACTCACCCGGAACATGCCAAAGTACAGAGGACATATTGAAATTCTAAGGGTGTGGTTATTGGAGGGTATACCGATGCCCAGAACATCCACTCACTTGTAGGGTAAACAAAAAACCTTTTGGAACTCCTGGTTCAATGAGTCAAGATGGGTGTTTTTCTTTCTCCCAAGGATCCCTTGCCGCCCAGGATCCATGCCAGGAGTGGCTCCAAAAGCAGTCGATCCGCTCGGTGGGAAAGCTCGAATGATACAAATCCCCTTCGAAGTGGGTCCTTAAAACTTGGCCAAACCACTGGAGTGCAGAACTGGCTGCGGTGGCACGCAAGAGCTCCGGGTCCTTGACCTCCATCCTGGCGTCGTCGCGCCGCGCCGACTCTACCAGCAGCCGACGCGAAAAGGCCTCTTCCGCCGCGTTAGACCTCTTGGCCACACTGTCCCTAGTGGAAGACCTGAGTCTGCAGATGGTGGGTTGGGAAGGTGACGCACACTGATAGAGGGTAGAACCATTGATAAGTCCCAGACTCTACTCTTCCGATTATTTAAGAAGTGCCACAGCGATTTCGCTGTGAAAAACGTGCCTGGGAATATTGAGAAAAGGACCAACAAAACGCTTAGCCTTGGACTATTGATTTGGGGAAAAGATTACTTGTGAACATTTCAAACTGCTTGAAAGAATGACAATTCTGCTTCTGAGTGGCAAGGACATGGTACTGTTTGTGACCGAGAAGGTTAAGTCCCAAAGACAAAGTAAAACTCTGTTGTCAAAGCACATTTGCTACAGTTGCAATTGTGAATGCATTCATTGCCAATCATTGCCAACATGTTTCAGACAACAGTTTTGACAATTTTGGAGTGTCAAGAACAAAAAACATTAGAGGGCCAACAGTAGATAACTAAGAATGTGAATCGTACAGCTGCAATTATGAAAGCAATGCCAGGTCTTTGAACAAAGCTGTATTGTGGGCGGCCCAAGTACAACCCAATATACACTTGCTACACTTGTCATGTCTAAAGCTCTTAAAAAACAAACAAAAAAAAAACACACACAAACACGTCTGACTGGCTTTAAGTTATCAAAACATATCAAAACTATACGAACAATTTTTGGATTCAAACTCGACATACATGGTTTGTCGATGCGAAATCTCTGCGACAGGTCCTGGAAATCTCTGCCGCTGTCTGTCGAATCATGTCACCAATGACCATGCTCAGTGACGCATCATGGTCCTTGGCATGGCCAAATGGAAGAAAAGGATCACTTAGATAAAGGAGCCGGAAAAATGTAAAATTATGTATAAACATATGGTCACCAAATGATTAAATGGCGATTCACCCAAAATATAGGGAACACAAAAAGAATCACCTTAAGCAAAACCAGGATCATACTCCCAAGCACCACCTGTCTGGGAAGGGGCATCTTTGCTCATTACTAAGTAACTTTTTTCAGTGGACTTTCCTGGGGCGGCACTCTGCCACAGGGCCCACCTCGCCCAACCCTGGCACCCAACCTAAGGTATAAATTCCCGAATAGGTCCGTGTCTGGGATGCACTCACCATCAAAGGTTGAAGACCCCCAAAAGACCCTCCCATAGGATCCAATCCCAAACACTCCATGTATGCCATAGCCTACATTGGGGTGGTTTTGGAGGTCAATGTATGTAAGTCATACATGAAGTGTCTGGGATAGGTCATCTACGCCAGATGACGGGTCCCTTTTCAGGTCACGTATGGTCACCTTTGTTGGCAATCCTCCGGTCTCGCTTCAAATATGATCTCCATCCCTTCCGGCCTGCCCGTCACTCTCCTCTGGCGCGGTTGGGGTGACGAATTGGGGGCTCTGAACCTCGCCGCTTGCGAAGGGAGGCGTCGGGTCTGGTAGGGTATGATCTCATTCCTTCTCGAAGTAATTTACAAGAAACTTGGATCCACCCAAACACTTTGCTGTAGTCTACAAGAATATGGATCCTAAGAACTTCAGTTATTTTAGTTCTCTACGTTGTGATCATATTTCTTCATGATTTTTTGTGTCACTTACGAGTTTAACTTATTATGTCAACTTCGGAGGCGCGATGCTTCGCCAAGCCACTGCCCCCTCACTGGATGAACTGAGATGGCTTGAAGACGAATGCGGCGAATGTACTCGATATGGCTCCTCTTTAGGCACAGGATGTGAAACGGGCGGGACGAGTTTGGGTTGCAAACATTTGATAAGATTTTTTTTAAAATAAAACTGCAGTGCATGTTGAAAAACCTGGACGCGACTTCAGGTACCTTAGAACATGGGACATGACCCAAACAAAAACAACAATTTTCATATATTTTCCAAGGTACGAACTGAGATTCCAGGTAGACTTGAAATGTTCAACGGAAACTTGATTCCCTGGTATGTCAACCTTCAGAACTACATCAAGGAATCAAGGACTGCAAACTTTTCAGTCGAACATGATCTTCTACGAGTTATCCCTTCTTACAGGACATCCCCCTTTGACCGGTCGTTTGAAGCTATCATTGAATGCCTGCACAGTCCGCTGAAGATTCCAATAAAAAGTGGGGACTTCAACGACAGACCCCTATAGGGCTCCAATATGCTCCAATTACCCAATCATTGAGAAGGCGGTTGGGGTGGGTTTGGAGGGTCTGATTACCTTCTGAGGATGTGGCTGGAGCACTAGGGGTAATACGTCAGAATGCTACCACCAAATCTTTCAGCCCATTCCCTATGGTGAGGGTCAAAGACAAAGACCTTTGGGTTCAACATGGTTCAACATGGTTCAACCCATCAAATGACCCTAGTCTGCAAAGATTATTAAGATATGGTTGACCTGGTGTTGTAGTCTAAAATCTTTGGTAAAACAATTAAGAAGTTCGAGATTCAAACCCTTACATCAATGGTGGGCGACGACGACTCCTCGGGGTGATACACCCCATCAAACAGCGACCCTGCCTCAGGGCCCTGAGGAGCCCCGACCACAGTCGGCACATTCGGGGGCGCCACACAGGCGATGTCCATCGGTGTCGCGGGCGTGCGGGCGGCTCTGAGGGGGTGAAGCTTTTCGGTCCTACCATGGGAGACCTCAATAGAGACCTTGTTCAGCAGTGCTACTAGGAACAAGAAGCTACTAGGGGCATCGCTACCAGGAGCAAGGACGGCTCCTGGCCGTACTACTAGTGCAGGGAAGTTGATTGGAGACTCCCCTGGAAGCACGTCGCCGGCTACATGAGAATGGGACTTGCATCGGCCTCCGCTGTGGTCTGAGACACCCGGAAAAGGGTTCCAAGTTCCGTTGAGCCTCAAAAACCCGTGAGGACGAGACTGCACTGATGTCTGTCTGACTGGGGAATAGTAGAAGGGTCGATTTAGTAGCATGCAGCATGTTTCATTGGTTGCTCACTGAGGGGTATCCCATGCCTTCACCAACCACCCAATAGTATAGTATAGTAGTTAAAAGGCCATTCGATGGGCCGATGGGACACCGGTGCTGCTGCATGCCATAATCTGACTGGACACTGAAGGCCAAGGCCTTTCCGCGACATCGTCAAAACATTGACCCCATAATAATCCAATCATCTAATCAAACCCAAGGATTTTGCATGGCCCAAATTCTGGTACGCAGTGTTGGTTGATACAAGAGAAATCGAGAGAACACATTGTTCCATCCTTTCCAGTTTTATTGGGAACTACGAATACTTCTCGCGAACTTGGTCAATAAATGTGCGATAATGTGCGTAGTTTTGTCTAAATGGAGAACCACGCGTGTTACATTTCTCGATCATTATCCCATTGAACGGTGCAATCACATCATTTTCAGGATGTCAAAACCTTCAAAACGAGAGGATTGTGGTTTGGGACATCTTGGGATATGAGCTCAACTTGTGAGGCGAACATGGCTGCAGAGATGTTCTGGCTGGATCGCCAAGGCGTCACACCTGAAGAACATCAATACGTCACTCTGAGTAACGTACTGACTCTCTGAGTACCCGCCGATCGCCCCGAGCTCGAACATCAGAAATCCGGGCTGCACCCAATTCTGCTCGACGCCCAGCAGAAAGCACCAAAGCCCACTGGTGGGAAAAATATGGAAAAAGCAGGAGGAAGATCAAACAGTGTGCCATTCAACTTGTTAACTTCACATCCTACGCGTCACCGAAAAGCGTCACCCCATGTCACCCCGCTTCACCCATCCAACGCGTCGCCGACCGGACGTCCGTGTGTCACTTCCGCCGGCCTTGTAGCGCCCCTCCTGCCGTGCTCCGTCCTTCGTCGCAGCCGCACCAGCGACCGGCACGGCTTGGAGCCGACACGTGGCACGGCTCTGACGTTCCCGAGCGAGTGAGGTGAAGCGACCGGTTGGAGCACCTCTTCGTCTTGAAGACTTGGGGGTTCCCCAAGTTTCACAAGCTGATCTGCAGCTTCTCCATGGACTTCCGTAAGCTGCTTGAAGACCAAACACACCAGCAGACATGCATGGCACGGTGTGTTTGGTCCATTTTTTTTCAAAAACGATCTCAGGCGGGGATTTTGGAGGTCAGCGCCTGGCTGTGCACCCTGGGCTGCAAAGGGTAAACAACCAGTGGTTGGGTCAGAAATCAAAAGAAAACAAAAGGACCAAGGTATCTTAAGTGTCCCTGCCATGTCAACCATTTCAACTCCAAGTTAGACCTTCCCTGCGTAGGTCAGTAGGTCAAAATATGTCAAAATGACATTCTTCCAACATCAAATCGGTTGTGTTTTTGTTCATGTTTCTTTTCCATCGAATGTGTGCGGTCCCTGCTATGACTCTAACCTCCCATACCTCCCTTTAGCTCTCTGGAGTCGAACACAACACCCACAGTCAGCTGGACCAAAGCTTGCAGACTCATGTAGATTCAGTGGATGTGGAATCAATCCCAAACACTCCATGTATGGCATATATATGCCTACATTGGGGTGGTTTGGGGGGTCAATGTAGGCATATATTCCATACATGGAGTGTCTGGGAACAAAAGCCCTTGCAAATGACCTCTCGGAAGGTTGAGTCCTTGTAGACTCAGACTCTTTTTCCTACATTTCAGACCCCCAAGCTTGAAGAGGTTCCATGTTTGGACGGGGGTTATTCATCCGACCATCCAAAAACCTCCAAAAAAAATCCATGGGACTGGATCAGTGACTTCCCATTGGGGTCATGGGCCAACATGGGGGTTGAACCCATCTGCAATTCCAGCTCCCAACCGGAAGGTCTAGGACTTCGGCACATCTGAAAACATCTTCGCCCAGCGTCATGCACAGAGACCTTCCAAGTGCTTCGCATCTTTAAGGCTCCCCTGATCGACTGCCTCCGCTCGTCGCGACGCGGTTCCGGAGGGACTGAGAACAGGAATGCGGGGATGGTGTAGCACTACGACGGCCCTGCGAACAAGGTTTCACCTGCAATCATCCAGTCCAAAACTGCGACTAATGATGGGCTAGCAACAACATCAAGTATAGAAACCCTACTTGCAATATAGTAACTTAGTACGAGTAGCTGGAGATGTCCGCTAAACCCCCAATGCTGTAGTGAACACCCTCCGCACCCATAACAAACGCGACGTAATGTTTGAGAAACTATACCCAAACACCTCCAATCATGGCGCCAAAGCTTGGCCTACCGCCCAGAAGCACCAAACACCGTTTGGCCATATGAAGCGTTTGGGTTACACATGAACTATCATCAATCACTTATTGGCTACTGTGATCCAACCATGTCCCACTCAGAAAACGCTGTGCGGCTCTGCCTGCTGTCCACATAGGGCCCCTCATCTCCTGTGGGACATCAAGGAACAAATAAAGCATTGACGCATTTACTGTCACTTCTTCCAACAGGTGCTACCAACAGAGGACTCAACAGAGGTTAAGTGACCTGAACTAGGACCCTACCGGGGTACCTATGGGAGAGTCTATAGGGTTCTTCAACCTCTGTTGATCTCTGTTGCTATTTCCCACTTCCCCAAGAGACCAAAGTTCGGAGGCTGGCATCAGTATGATATCCGTTTATGGAGGAACCCCGGAAACGAACCGCAAAAGGTCTCCGGGCCCTGCAAGAAATGAGAAACCCTATGGATCCAAGTACCTCCTCAGAAGGTATTTGGAGACTATTTATGTAGGCGCCCGGAGGGTCCAAGTACCCTCTGAGAAGGTATGTGGATCCATAGGGAAAACAATTACAAAATATTACAAAAACACTTGCGGCACAACGGTTGTTGTTGTGTTTTAACGGTGCACACCCCAGCTCATCCCCTCAACTGCAGGGGTGGCGTATAGTGGCCCGCTTGTCCGCCGGTCCGTGTTGCACCCGAGGATTGAACCCGAGTCCTCAAGACAGTTGTTGATCACGTTTCCCCTGTTCCTACACCTTGCTTGGACGGACACCGTCGCTTTTTCAGGGCTTTTAAAGGTGTTTGCGTCATAGCTTAAACGTTTTGGGTTCACAAGTGCCATGCGGCACTCGTGTTGGATCAAGAATCGATCAAAGCTGCAGCTCTTGGGGAAGTCACCGTGTCACCAAGCAACAAACTCTTCCAACAAACCGCCTCAAAAGGTGTTGGCAAACATGTCTTCCGCAAGACCAGGCTGCTTGGCTTCAGCTTCAGAACGCCAAAAATCCACGACACTCCAGACTCACACCTGCTTGGGCCTGGTTCGAATTGGCAGGGGTCAGACCTGCACACCAAGGGGAGAATTTTTGAGTCCGTTGTTTGGAATGTTTGGTCCAAAATCAACTACTGTACCTGGTCGTCCAAAAGGCCCCACATCTACTGTTCATTGGCGCAGACGGCGCGTTTGGCCCAAGGAACTCTGCTTGCGAAGACGCGCGAACTGCTAAATCCAACGAAGGCTTAGCGGCCTACCAACAGAGGTTGAAGGACCCTATAGACCATCCCATAGGTACCCCAGTAGGGTCCTAGTTCAGGTCACTTAACCTCTCTTGGTACCAAGACCCCAAACATTTAAACCTGGACCGACGGATGTGTGGGACTTCGTTTCACACAAGATATCTCGTCAGTCTGACTGGACCTAGCCCAAGAAAGTCAGTACCGACACACAAACCTGCTGCAGGTGTGCGCTTCCGAGTCAATAGTCTAACTCTATACCTTCAGAAAAAGCAGGTCTGGTGCACACAGAGTTCTACGCACCTGCAGCAGTTCCCCAGGTCGGGTGCTGGCGGGTGCTGGTGCTGGTGCACGGAGCTACTGTGCCATCCTGTGTGGGCCCTTGTCACATTCACTCAGCTGGAGAGTTCCAAAAAACCACGTCCCGACAGTGACTCCACCAGCGCCCCCCACCGAGCTCGCCTCGCTCCAAAAGCTTCATCACGAAGCGACTCCAAGGACTGTAGGGGTGGAACTCCTGGAGATCGACGTGTTCTAACCAGGTACTCTATACCAGGGCCGCCCTGAAAGCGAAAGCGGGGTGTCCGAACAAAAACGCCCTGCAAAAGAGGGGGTTGGTGACGAACGAGGTGTCCATTCACCACCCCACCACCCCATGGCCTGAGGGGGGGGCCCTGGTGCCTACGCTGGTGGTTTTACAGTTCACTGACTCTTGAAATTTCTTTGAGTGGATCAGTTTCAAAATGAATGCTTGGTGGAGCGGAGCTCCGGATGGAACCTTTGTTCCGGATGGAACCTTTTCCATGATTTCTGGCGGTGAAGCACCACTTCCATGTTTGTTTCGATGAAAGAAGGGGGACCCTTCCTTTCATAAGCTTTCAGACTGGTTGGGTTGGACAAGCAAACACGGTTGAAAGGAGACATCATGAAACATCGAGTTTCTTTTTCCCCAGGAACCCTGGTCCACGGTCGCACTGGTAAAGGTGGCAAGCCCAATCCGGGCTCCGAAAGCTGGGACTGGATGCCCACAGAATTCCAGTCGAGGAATCTGGAGCGAACAATATGGGACAATGGAAACTGACCCCCGCAAAAGGATCGGAACTTACAGCATCTGCCAGGACCCAAACAAGCAAACCCCCTGGGGGCACAGGTGGATGAGCGGGACCACAGGTGGCACTGGCTGGCGCTCCTGTGCCACCGGATCGTCCACGTAGAAGCCGGAGTCGCCCTGTCCCAAGCACGGCGCCCCGAGGAGGGCGGGGAGGCGCCCTGTCCCAAAACTGATCTGGAGGAGGTCAAGGGAATCATGGATTGTTGCATGGAGAGATGTATGGGCATCTGGGATTTGCTGCTCCCAGGAAGTCGGGAAAGGGACAATTTATTCCCCATGCCAGGGGGTTTGAGTATGGGGAAAAGAAAAAATCACCTTAAGATATACCAGGGCATTGTTTAGGAGTGGGAACCATCAACACGGTTATTCGGAATGGTCTCCTCAATCCCAGAAGACCCACGTAAGGCTACAATGGTCTGAGTGGATGATTGAAGCATAATGAAGCATATATTTGAAGCCATGAAGATGTGTTCATATTCTATGCCATAGTTCCCAAACAAGGAGTTAGTGTCGTGAGTTGCCTAAGGCTTCTTCAGGTGTTGGACACCGAGGGATGAACATGGAAATCAACAATCCACTCTCTGGGAAATCAAATCAAATCCTTGCAACAAAGAAACTTCAACATCCTGAAGAGAATTGCCGGAAGTTGTCCTTGTAATCTGCAAGAAAATGCAGGCTGCTTCCAGTGGAGATGCTATCTGGCCAATCAACCTTAGAGTTGATCCTTCAAGGAAAGCTGGTAGTTACTTGGCTGTCCAGCCCGGTCCTTCGCTTTAACCTTTAGCCTTTAGTGGATTTGTCAGAAATCCATTCAAAAACAAACAACGTTGTGGCGAACCGTTCTTGTTTGGTTTGGGGGAGGAATGAGAATCGTTGTGCACTCTGACTCATCGTCTGCAGCTCAAATTATGGCGATATACATGTCCAGTGGTTGAGAGAGAATTGGTGTAAACCAGTTGGCTTTCGTCAATGAGGACTGAACACCCAGCGGACCATGTATCTAAGTCTCTCCATGCCATACTTTGAGTATCGCCTCGTCTTAGGATATAATGTCTTACAGCCATTTGTTTTGAGAACCGTTGGAAATCGTTGACAGGTGAAAGGTTCTAGTGGCCTGCCCTCCCTGAAATCATCGCCGAACACCAGGTCCCAGGTGGTTTTCACTCGCTTCTAAGCATGGATTCACGCGAGCGGATATGAGCGGACAGTCTTGGTGCATCAAAGTGCATGTAACTGTTCAACAATTATTCTTAGGGATCCAGTCGTACCTCCTCAGGTACGGTGATTGGAGAGACTGTTATACAATTTATATAGGTGCCAGGAGGGTCCAAGTCCAAGTACCTTCTGAGAAGGTACGACTGGATCCCTAGGGCCAAGCAGTGAGTCTTAAAAATAAGTCGTCCTCTTCCCAGTGGTCTGGCTGGGTGTCATCCAACTTATCAAACAAAAGGACACGGATCCACTGCCAAAGCAGTGATTCCCCAAGAAAACCCTCCAAAAAGGCACTGGAGGCATCTGGCCAGAGACGTCTCCGAGTTGCATGCTGCAGTACCTTTACCTGGCTTCAAGTACCTTCGAAAATGAGATATGACCCGCACAGGTAGATCATGCTAGATCTGTTTTGATGTTCACTGAACCCTTCTCGCACCGGCGGCGCCGGCTTGATCAGTGGTTTTTCACACATCACCTGAGAATGTGACCTGGATCGCCATGGGTCGTCGAACGAACCCCAAGCGTCCCGTCCCTGAAAACGCTGATACCCACCGCCCCGCAACAGCGCCCGTCCCACGCCTCGGGCGCGGCGCCCTCCTCACTTCGGACGGATCCAAGGCCTTGGAGCAACTCGAGTCGAGCGGTGCTGAGGGGTTCGGGGACGTCGTCGGGCAATGCCTAGTCCTGGGATCCAGTGGTATATACCTTCGTTTCGAAGGTGTTTGAGGTACCTTCTGAGGAGGCACGACTGGAGCCCTGGGGCTAGGGATCCAGTGGTACCTTCTCAGGTGATTGGAGACATATGTAGGTGCCATTGTTGGGTCCAGTCGTGCCGAACCTGAGGTTCGGTACGACTGGATCCCTATATACCCAGCGACCAGGGCGAGATGTTTGGCCTCCCTTTTCCAAATACACACACATCACGAAGGGTGGAAGTGGAAAACGTTACGCCGCCTGTTCGGTATTAGGGGAGTCGTCCTTTGGGATATTTGGACCGCAGGATCCTATTTCAGGTGAGATGATTTTGCTAAGTATTCTTTCCTTTTGCAGCAAATGGTGGTTTCTACCTGACAAGTGGATCATTTAAGAGTCGTCTTTGAGAATCCCTGCATGTAACACCGGGGAGGACATGGATGAATCTTCAACTCCTAAATGGGGATAAATCAGTCATATCCAAAGCCAAACAAAGCTGAACATGGATGAACTATCGATTCATTGGAACAAAAATGTCTCTTCTAACTTCTATCTCTCTCTCTCTCTCTACAAGCACCACCTAAAGGGTTGTTATTTGATGGAAAATGGATAGTCAGGGGGGCCAGGGGATCTATAAACCACCCTTTGGTAGTACTGGTATTAGGATGTATTAGGTATATATCTATATATAAATTAGACATTGACATTATACATTTAGCAACTCTCCTATAGTTACTATAATTACACGTCGAGTTATCACACTTGCCCTTTCAAGAGAGTGAATGAGGGAGGGCACGGCCAGGCGGCCAGGGCTGCCCACGACTGCCTTCCCCAGAGCCTTCCACGACTGCTCACTAGCTAAGTGCCCCAGAAAGACCGACCGCCGCCCGAAATTCTCCATCATAGTATAGATGGAATCTGCACCTGCATTGTGCAAGCATCCCAACTGATCACATCTGATCCAATGCCAGTGCTGCCAGTCCCACCAAATGTAGAGAAAAAGGACATCTGATCCGGATTTCCCGCATCAGTCAGCCTGGTCAGTCAGCCTGGGCCCATCTTGGACCGGAGACTCCGGGATCCCCGGCTGAAGTGACTGACATGGCTCGAGCTTCGGTTCAAAAGCCGCAAGTCCCGCGTGCGTTCGGCCACGGACACGGCATCTGTGGAGGAAGAGACCATGGAAGTCCTGGCGGCTTCTGCGCGACTTTCTGGAAGGTGGGAAACTTGAAAAGGGGTCAAGTAGGCATGTATTCCATGCATGGAGTGTCTGAGGAATAAGTTGACTCCTGTGTGTCGCCAGATGTGTCCTTCAACGGGGCATGTAGTGCTGTTCGAATCTTTGTCGGACCCTACAGATCTAATGCCACCACATGGTGCAACACGAGATTTGGGCGCGAAGGATGCAACCACAATCACTCCAACAACTGCATGTTGTTTTCTTAATGTTCTTCCTATCACACCTCCAAACCCCATATGGGCACCATGTTTTTATAGGGAGACGCCCCACATTTCGCCCTGGCTGAGTAGACTGGTCAAACGAACCCAAACCGAACCCAGGGGGTCAAACGCTCTATCCACAATGTGCGCCAAGAACCCGCCACAGAAACCGATGTCCTCATCATCGGGGCGAAGACTGGCGATCCTCGACTGGGAGAAAGCCCCGCCCCTTACCAAAGGTGCCAGACCAAAGGACTTACAACCCCTTACCCTATGGATCCACATACCTTCTCAGAAGGTACTTGGACCCTCCGGGCGCCTACATAAATAGTCTCCAAATACCTTCTGAGGAGGTACGACTGGATCCATAGGGTTACTCATCCCTGAGATGGAAAAAGAACCGCCTCGAAACTGCTGGGAGAGAGGCTCAAAGAATGGCACGGGTCAGGACTGGCGCCAGGTGGGTGGATGGGGGACTTCCTCAGGTTCCGAAAACCGAAGATCCGTGGTTCCTAAAACGGAGGATTTCAACTCAGACTGGACGAATATTTACCATTTACATCCATTTACTGGTTTCAAAGTAGACAACATTAGACAACATGTTTATTATATAGAACCCTATAGGGGTCCATATAAACCACCTTTTTGAGGATTGTGCCACGCTCTGAAACCACTGTAGGTCATTGTGTCCCAGTATTTTAGCATCGATGATGGTTGGTATGGACCAAAATTTAAAAGACCAGCAAGGGCCACATCTGCACGTCGTGAAGCAAGGGCCACATCCAAGTCAAGAGAAACATATCAAACAAAGCGGAAAGCCCCCAGAATGTGGAAGCCATGTGACTGAAGCCGCTTCGCCGCGAGACGTTCGCACAATAACCTCTGTTTTTCCATGAAGACACCCTCCGCCGAGCCCGAAACGGTTTCGGGGTGTCTAATCATTGGGCCCCTTGGAGGTGCTGTAAATAGGTGTGAATGAACACCACCCCAAAAGGAAAACGGGGGCCCTGGCAGCAGTGCCTGCGGCAAGACATGATTGTTCATGTCTTGCTGCCACCCAAAGTCAAGGCAAGAAGTGTGTTCCTTCAGGACACATACGTATGTTCTTTGGTAAAGACAGCCACCACCTTCCTTGGGAGGACAAGAAAAGGAAGCACTTCAGGTACGTCACCCACCTGACTTCGTCACCCACCGTTCGTTCAAGCCCTAAAGCACCGGTCGATCGACAGAGTATACGTCTTCTTCTCCTTCTTCGGAAAGTTATGGTGGTTCCCTGCGGCTGATTTCCAACTTGGTGCACCTTTGATCAGACGAATGCAATTGCTCAGCCCTTGCAAGCTGTGGAGCATTATACTGAAAAATATTGAGCAATCTTAGTCACTCATCTATCCATTCACAACCGATTCATGTTAATCATCCCTCCATCATCCTCGACTCTATCCATTCCAGCTTCATTGGACAATCGTGTCTATGCTTGCCTTAATTAATTGCCCTCCAGCACTACGAGGTGATCATTGCATTAATCAGGATCATCCACTTGGTACAAGTTGGGGGTGGTTCTTGGAGGACATGATCCATTAGTGGATGGGTCCTATTATACCCAAACACTCACTTTATGCATGGAACTAAATGTATAATACATGTGTATACGATTCATCTGCTGAAACCGACGTCCCCACTGACACCGACACCGCGCCCAGGAGCGAAGGTCCACGGCGCTGCGGCTGGTGCTGCGCTGCAACTCGCCGCTGGTCGGCGAACTCATCGAGGCCAACTCCGACATCCTCGCCGTGCCGCGAACGTTCGCTGGACTGGCAGAGGCTCCATGGGACTGGAAGAGGCAACCGCCCCATTGACCCCTGAAATCAAGCACCCCAACTGATCGGTAAATATGTCAGTCCCATGGAGCATCGTGTCTGGGGAAGTTTTGCAGCCTCTGACGCCATTCGGGTGGCCTATCCCAGAAATGTTGAAACGGTGAACGCCCCCGACGTTTCGGTGAACCCCTTTCTTAGCGGTGAAACAGGTCCGTCTTCTTTCCGGAAACGGTGACGTGGATGGGTGA